TAGTGGAATAATATAACAAACCAACAGTATCGATGTTAATTTTCTATGCCAAATACATCTGTGATTTATGTTTGTAACCTCGAATTGGTTTCATTTTCTACCGAGTTGTGATTAAAATGTTAACAAATGTCATAAGAAAGCCATTTGTATATTCAAACATTGTGCTTCTCTTAATACATTTTAAAACATGCATAATCTTAGAATTTCAGCTCTTTTGGACCACCTCTATCTTCTCTGGCTCTTTATGACTGGTATTGGCAAAATCATTCAATGATATTGAGGTTTTCTACCATGTATCATACGTCTGGGAAGCTTGTTTCCCACTTTACTTTGGTCTCGCTACTTTACCAAGTCGTTCTATTACAAGCAACTTCAGACGCTTAAGTCCATACCTGACAGTAGGCATTCGATAACAACCCAGCGCTCAAACAGCAGAACGTTACTCGCCTACCGAGGCATGTGGTCTTCTCTTCTAGTCTTAGCCGAGAATAAAACAGTATTTTCTGTTGACATTATGAAAAACAAATCTTTCCAGAAATATTAACATTCGGTATATGTTTTGTTGTACGTTAGGATTACAATCCAACAACTTCAAATTACGTAGTCATGTGAACATAGTTATATAACTGCTTTGACCATTTAACAGAACCTTAATCTAACACTTTCAAAAGATAAATAATCCTATATGACAACGAATAATACTTGAAATTGTACATGCCATTCATGAAATTGTATCTGGACGCTATAACTCACATACTTATTGGAATTAATTGTTTAATTTGAACCTCAATCTAACACTTTCAAAAACGTATAGTCGCATCAGATGAGGAATTAAGCTGCAAAATTTGCATATAATCCCTTGAATTGCCTTCGGATGCTGTAATCCTTTTTCCGGAGCTTCCCGTTCAATTCGGTGAGTTCGCTATAGCTTCTGGCCAGTGCTTTCACCTTAAAACTGTCCCACACATATTGATCATAAAGTATCACATTAATTCTGGGTGGCATTAATTCTCGTTTCAACCCTCCTATTTAAACTGATTCCGACTTTCATTTTATATGTAACATATGCAATACTCATTCTAATTGTTTGATCCTGAATATGGAAGGCCGTGTATTACTTTGATATGTAAAGTGTATCTGTCCGAAAAATTCACAATTAAAAGGTTCCTCAAACGGACAAATGTTGGTCCTATTTTACATTTACGCATTTATTTATCATATATCTGCAATGATTTTCCGTCCATTTCTCTCTTCTTAATTCGTCATCATCATCAAAGCTCACAATATCGTCAGAATTGTCTCAAACATGTTCAGCTAAACTTGAGAAAGAGGCACAATAAGGTATAATTTTTAACAGCTTTAACGAATCTTACTACTGGATTCCCCCAGAAATGGACACGCCTAGACCAGTTCAAACCTTTCCAGATATGCTCAAGATTCTCTTCTGCTGACGGCCTAAGCTTGGGTTATTCATTCTCGTCTCCTACCAAAGAAGGCTATATTTCAACAGTAATCCAAGAATACAAGAACAAGTTATATGAATAGGCCGTGTTGCGGAATCTGACATTGAATGTTAATAAAAGTGGATTCATTTACATTAATTGCAGCCCTAACCTAAATCTGATACTACACAAACACGTTTTGAAACCTAAAAACATTGTTTGCGACTCGGGTTTAAGGAATGGCAACAGTACGAAAATTTTCGAGGATATTGCATCTTAAGTATTAAAAGCAAGAATGCTTGTATGATTCATTGTGATCGATTTCAAAAACATCGAATCTAGATTGCTAATAAGTCAAAAGTATATCATCCCATTCTTGAATATGGTACTTTAGTTTACAGCAATTGCGGAAATAATGATTTGCTGAAGGTAAAAGACATAGTTTACAAATTGATGCACCAGATCACATAGAGACTCATCAATGAAGATGTCATGGATTTTTAGCGTTTGTCAATGCTATTATCCTAAACTTCTCTTTATGTAAAAATCCAAAGTTCAACCGGATCAGAAGCTGAAAATGAAAAGATGCAAAGATAACTTTTAATATCGGCCGATGCGTTTAAGTATGTGCAACCTAAACAGACTAGTTTTGCACACGAGATTCTCAACGAAGCGTGTTGAAACGTGATTTGTTAATGATGCTTGGCGAAGTAGCGTCAGTTAAGAGTGTGTACAGTAAAAATAATGAGGTGAGTATCAATGTCAAGGGCTTATCAAACTGCTATTTTTAGTTTATTCACCAGCACAAGCACCTGCAACGACTAAAGAGTTTATGTATTATACTCGATGATAAACCAAAATGAAATATATATTACGAGCCAATCATCATTATCTGCTGATGTTGGTACTGGGATAATCTCGTTGAAATGTACTCGAATAACGTTGATATGAAACCAATTTATTCAGCGAACGGCTCTTTATATCCACCTGTTCTAAGGATTCATATACTGCTACGAATCCACTGGGGCTATTTCTGAAAAGTGAGTCAGTGTACTTCACTGAAATTCAGACGAGAAGTTTAGTCCTAATGCGATTTGCATTTCTCAAACTTTTGCTGTGTTCTTACACAACATAAGTACCATTTCTGATCTAAAGAATCTATTCTAAGCTATACGTCCGGTAGGTTACTATTTTTAGTTTCACGAAATTTAATAGTTAACTGTGACTTTGCCTCAGCTTACTATTCGTTTTTTTCAGTTTTTCACGTGAAGTCTAGTTCAGTCCATCACATCCGTTTTTATTCGTTTTTGCCCGTTTTTAGTGTGCTTTTAAGTGTCTTGTTTAACGGTCTTAGGCATTTTCTAGCATCCGTAATACAGTTTACGTCAATATAGTCATGAAAAATTCATGCAAACGACCTGGATGCCGTCTTGCTGTTACATCTGGTATGCAGGGCGATGATTGCAAAGGTTGGTTCCATGAAGCGTGCACAGATCTCACACCAACTGCTTAAAACAGAGTCAGCAAGTCGGATCATAAGTGGGTATGTGTTACACACAACACGGATGATGTAGTTTTGCTGAATAACATCATTGTCCTATTGACAGGTCTGAGGAATAAGTTGTCAGCAAACTTGGAAAAAGACAGTCATAAAATGGGTAGACAAACAAGGAGGCGCAACGAAAACAAGAATAGGGACGTCGACAGGTCTACTATGGATGGAGCATGCATTAGCACTAGTGATGACATGCTAAAACTCAGCACCATCATAACGTCTACAGTAAGAGACTCCATCAGCAAACTCGGGTCTCCCTGCTCATGGTCCTTGAATGCAACAGTGGTTCCCAAAAACTCTGTAGGTGATTGGAACCACATTAACAGAGCTAAAAAGGATCAGGAGTCATCGTCTAAGCTGAACATCCCAAATACTGTACGAAAATCAACTGGTAATTTGGTCGCACAATCTACCCCCAAGAATATCCGTCCGGTCATGAAAGAGCCTAGGAATCGGAAATGCGCTTCGACCTCCAAACAACAAGGTGCTGAACCTGAACTCAACGGAAAACCTGGTAAAACAATAACGGTTCGTGATGACTCTCCCATAACCATGAACCTCAAAGACAACCCTGACCTTCCTCTCAGTTTGTAGGACAAAAGTGACATGATGCTCTGGGGAGAATTGAACAAGAAGCTTGAACTTCCTAGAACAGAGCCTTTGACGGTCACGCGACTCACTTGGGGAAAAGAATCTTAGCATCAAAATCACCTGAGGCTACTTCCTGTAACACTTAAGAATTCTACCGACGTAGAGGGTGTCCTGTTAGCTAGTCGTTAACTGAAATCCGATGGGAACGTAAGAATACTGCCCGACACACCGTATTCTGGGCGCGATCTCATCCGAAACACCCCTGAAGAATCTCGTGAGAAGTTTTTCCTTGGAAGAAATATCATTGTACAAGGTGTACTTGTTGCTGATGACGTGAAACCTTGGAGAGAGATACGCAACCAAGACGATATACAAGTACTTCAGGAGGATCCGACTCGGCTTCAAAGTTGGGCGGACGATAACGGACTAACCTTTAACACTTCAAAGTGTAAAGTGGTCCATCTGCGGTATGTTGTAGACTACAGTTACAACCCAAGAAACTCCTCTCTAATAGTATCCCGAGTTGAAAAAATTTAGGAGTCTTGGTACCCTACAATTTAAAGTCCTACGCTGTGACAGAAATGCTTTTCGAGCAAACCTTGCACTGATAACATTGAAGCGCATTTTCGGCCAGTTTGACGGTAGAACTTTCCACATAATCTTCAACAGTTTTATTTGTCCCCATTTAGAGCACGGAAACATATTATATCCTCCCTCACTTCAAAAGGATAAGGACACTCTGTAGTGTATCCAACGGCGAGCCACGAAATCGGTTTGAGGACCCAAATTCAAGCCCTATGAAGAGCGTCTCCAGTCACTTAGACTTTACCCACTACAGTATAGGCGTCTTAGAGGTGACCTAACACTTCTGGACATCCCTTTAAACACCTACTAAAGTTTAGCTCCAACACAAACCTAAGGAGTAACACCCAGAAACCGGAGGTACAACATAGGAGAACGGACTAAAGACACAACTTGTACTCCTTAAGAGTTGTCAAATGCTGGAATTCGCAGCCGACTGAACTAGTCCAAGCGACTTCCCAGGAGTCCTCTAGGAGGAAACTTGACATATTCTTAAGGACTAAGGATAACATCTTATTATGAATTACCAGTAGGTCATTAAAACGAAAACAACATAATATATCGTTTCACAAATCAAGAACAAACGGTATGTCTGTTGTATATTACTTTTTGAAATGTGTGACCAACCCTTAAAATATGCTGAGTGATGTAGTGTTCACTCTTCAGTCGATTCATGCAAGATTATATACTGAAAATACAGAAATACATTATTCGAGTAATAAAATACGTCTTGTGCCTTCTTTCTTGAATCTTAATTCAGTTCGTGTACTTGAACATGACGGTGAGCTACAAAAACGTGGCTATTTGACTAGCGTGCTACGTTCTTACAGATGGCAGCTGTTATTCAGGATCCTTCTCGCCAGATTACGAAGCCGGAACTAGTATTCAAAATCGACGAACTCTCTTGTGGTGTAAATGATGCGATCTTTATTCCTGGTAGAGACTCTATCGTCACAGGATCAGAGGATCGGCAAGTTGCATATTTTCCTGACTAAATTTTTAGCACTTTGAGGGTTTGGGTCAGGAGAGATACTGGGAAGTTCTGGCCAACAGTTATCGAGCTGCTACCCAGTACGTTCCATTACATTAGTGCTTTGATTACTAGGTCCCATTACCTGTATCACGTATTCTGCCGAATTACACAGATTATTCGTTGGTTTGGAGAATGGGACGGTTGTAGAATATGACGTTGCTGAAGATTTGAATCATATTGAACACAAAAGAGACTATCTCTCTCATACTGCTAGGACAACTGGGATCGTTTGCACCCCAGATATGGGTTGGGTTGTATCTGCTTCAAAAGATCGTACTGTCGCATGGTATTCGACCAATAGTGGTAGACGTATATGTGAACATAATTTAGAGCACTCAGCCACTTGTTTGGAGTAGGTGGATTGTTTTTATCATGACAGCTTGCCTACTTTGTGTGGTTTGGTTGGGAAATATTTACGTGGGATCTAAAACATTACTCTCTAGACTTTTGCGGACTTATTAATGAAACACAAAAGAATTCTCTTTTGTTGAAAAAATCGTTTCTCATATCTCGAGTGAGACTAAAGGATAGTTTTTTAGACTTTTGTGTTAAGGATCCGTGTACATGTGTTCTGCGAAACACGGAATATATTGAGTATCTGTTATGTTCGACCGTAGCAAAGGTCTGCTATTGTAGTGTCTGTCAAGCACAATATCTTTAACAAAGTTCCAAGTGAAATCGCGTATATAATAACAAAAGTCACCGTAAAATCAAATATGTTCAGTTAACTTATATACCACTTCATGCACAAATAAATTTATTGTATATAATGTATGTAAATCATTTCTTACTTGAATACTTCTGCTTGTTTGGAAACGAGTCGCTTTCGGAGCGATCCAGTTTCCATCGATGTCTAGAGGCTTACATAATCCCGCATTCTAACTAGCATAAATGAACATCTATCATTTACTCTATCTAGTTAGTCGCACTCAACTACAACTCACGACTTTTATGGAGATATCACCATATCTGACCACACATTTAGTATTCAAGTTCACTCAAATTAGTATCAAAGCTTATGAGTTGTATTACTTTCGTACACTTTTTTTCAACCACTTCGATACAATGAACGAGGCTATCTTCTGTCCTGCCCTGTTAACTAAAGCAAAAGGACCAGTTTCGTAGTTAAAGCTTGCTGATAATGACCTTAGTATAATAAACTCAAAATACATATAAGTTCATCGATTATGCATCAATTGTCTTGATTAGGATTTATGGATTGAGTTTTTGTCAGTAAACAAAAATAATAGTAAAAATGTGTTGTGAGTCCATGGACAAAATCACACTAAATAATATAATGCACTGAAAAACCATCCCAGTTGATATCGTTTTCCTTCCTCATAAGTTTTATTTGGGGATTGTACATCTCTGATAAGTTGGATATAGTTCAACACTATTTACCATGTACAATCTTCATTTTAAAAGCTAGCAACTAATTACTTGGCTAGTGCTATCTTGCCTCTGGAAACTTGTTAACATATCGTTGTATATTATGGTGTTAGTATCTTTTATCGCATCAGCTTATACCTAGGTAGTATCCAAACATCTAGTAGGATACGAAATCATTGGCGCTTTTCCATATCCACCCTAAAACCTTGTTGGGGATATTAAAACTCATGAAAATCAAATCAATCAATCTATCATAGTAAACTACTTAATGTGAATACTTCACGCAATCTCAATACATTTTTGTGGTATTTTGCGTCAATGACAATCACTTAGTTTAAAAACTCTAATCACTTCTTGTTGATATATTATCGATAAATCCAATGTATCTTTATGGATTATGCTGCGTCTACATCTAAAATATTTTCTTTTGCAAAATATGTTTTTAACTTAGATGGTGAGGCAAAAAAGATAACATAATAGTCTTGTTCATGGTACTAAAGTCAGAGTAGTGTAACTTATTAGCACAATGCATGGACGTATCAGAAATATAGATACGTTCATGTTTATGATCTTGTAGGATTCAGCATCTTTTTGCTTCATACTTTTACATAAACCTTTTATCTTCATTTCTCAATTTCTTGACCGTTGTAGTTGTTATAGTCGGACGGTTTTACTGTTACTTATGGGATTTACGTTTTCTCGACTACAGATATGATGTTGGCTCACACTACGTGTTTGTTGGTGATAGCAGCGGTCGCATTACTTTACTGAGCATTAATCAAGTCAATGGTCAAGTAACGTGTCGTGTAATTCGTGAACTCCGTGGTCATGAGCAGTCAGTATCCTTTCTGGCTTGGGATAGTGTAAATTCTCGTCTATTTTCTTGCAGTGCCGACCGTTCTGTTATCTTCTGGGATATTGGTGGAGCTAAAGGTTCATCTTTTGAGTTGCAAGTGAGTGCACTATTCTCTTTGGTTTAATTTCCATTATTTACACCCTAAGTTGTTTAACAAGATTTTGAAATTTGGAAGGATATAGGGTCAGATTTGAAAGTTAAATACCACAACCAAATACAAGTTCTGTATCAGACTTTCTGCGACCACGTGCGCCACATGAACTGGCCTTCTTGACCGTTCGCTCAGTAATCTAGGTCGGATAACAGATAGGGGTTGGCCGTCTTATCTTAACATGGATGTCTGTTTTCTATTTGACCGGCGTTCGAAAGTTTAGTGAGCTTCTACACATCCGCTCTCCATATGTCGATTCGGAAAACTTGTGTAATATGCTTTTACCCGAAGACCTGTGATCTTTCTGACGTCCATGTCACACCAAGCACCAGAGTTGAAACAAAAACCCTGCATAAACTGCAACTAACATCTTAAGGCCCCTACATACTAACACCTCAGGCAGAGTGGGAACACAAAACCAAACCTCTCATTGTTCCATTCAAGCAGTGAGCTTGGCATGGTTGCCCGACCCCACCATTCCTTATCAACTTCTTCACCGGTGACATTCTGTAAACAGCTCTAGTGGCAGGAGGTGATAGTGGTCAGGATCTGCTACCTGGAGACTCCATGGTTGGGGTCCGGGAAATATTGCAACACAGCGGCTGAAGACGTTATCAGAAATGGCCCAGTATAAAAGTAATTGACAGGACTGGTATAATCTACTCTTACTTTCTTCATATAAGTGAGAGGAACCTCGTGCTGAAACCATCTTCGGTTCTGTTTTTCTTAACTGAACTGCTCCCATTATTGTTTTATTCTTATCCACTTATTTTTATCGGCATATTACTTTTTTATTTACCATACTCACCCTCCTTCCTCTATGTCATGTTCTCATTATGAAGTGTATAAATATTCTAGTACCCCTTTGTAAAAATATTTGAGCTTAAGTAACCAAATTTTAAAAATATGTCAAGGTGAAGTCATTGTAACACTACAATACACTCAAAAATGTCAGGTCTACAAACTTTTTAGCGAAAAACCATCCGTTAGATTCTTAAAAAAGGAACTTCTGAACATCTCGATATTTGACCATCGTCACCTCTGGAAGATTACTCACAGTTTATGCTAAAAAACTTGACCTAACCTAGCTGAAACGGGGAGCCAACGAGATACACCCTCCCTTTATCTGGCGGCCTGAATGCTAGATCTCGTGAACTAGCGGGTTTGGGCATAGCATTAAATATGAGGGCAGAACAAGCACTATTGGGATGCATCCCTGTTAACAGTCGCTTATGTGCTATTCGGATAAACAGCTCCGTAAGAACTCGGAAGGATAGGGACACATGTCGTTTCTACCTACACTCCCACTGACTGCAGCCCGGACGAAGTGAGATGAATTTTACAGGAAGCTTCAAAAAGCTAAGCACTCAGACATAGTACTTGTAGCAGGTGACTCTAACGTCCAAGTGGTTAGCTTAAAACAAACAGAAATACATTTAGGTAGGTATTTAGGTATTCCGGATCAGCGAACAGATAATGGTAATCGTCTGCTGCAACTGTGCTCAAACAATCGTCTATTTTCAACAAGCACTAATTTTAAGCATAAGAAGAGACATCGTCTAACGTAACGACCTCCTGCAACAAACCAACGATGGACTCCAATAAGCCATATTGCCACCAGTCATCCTTGGAGAAGCCAGATAGAAGACTGCTGCTCGTTCTGGGGTGCATGTTTAAACTCTGTTCACGCTCTAATACGAGCACGCATTCACCTGCGCCTCACTGGATGCAGAAAAGCCACATTAAACAGACCCATTAGAAATGAAGTCAGTGATGAGAAGGGCAAAGGTAAATTTTAGGAGCAAACGAAGTCACACTTAGGCAATTCTGAAAGCAAGGCTGATCCAGATGTTACTTGTAAAGATATACTAACAGCTGTGGAAACAACAGTGACATCTATTAGTGATTTGAACCAAAGGGCCACGAAAAATCAGTGGATTTCTACAAAGTCTATTGCCCTGATAGACCCTCGCAAACTTATCCCATCAGGCTCCGAACACGATGAAGAGCAAAAGCAAATCAGATCTAGGCTAACCAAAAGCAAAAGATATGGAAAAGACAGCGGCTTTATGTAACACAAGACGGCTTTTCGGACTAATAGAAGAGACCGGGATTAAGAAGTTAAGTGTAAGTGAGACAATCTAGGAAATAACGGCACTCTTAGATATTTAGAATGATGGGTTGAACACTTTAAGGAGCAGTTCAGCTGCTCTACAGCTACCCACCATCTCCAAACAGCCTGAGTGGAACACTGAAGTAGGTCCGCCGACTCTAATCGAAGTTTAAAAAGCTATAGCTAATCTGAAACGAGGAAGAGCAGCTGGTCCAGATGAATTGGCTCCAGAGGTCTCTAAGTATGGTGGTCCAGTTTTAACGATTAGGTTAGCTAATATTTTAACTAAAATCCGGGAGTTGGACGTAATCCCATCTGACTGATCACAATCACTAATTGTCCCAATATATAAGAGGCCAAAATCATCCTGTGACTATCATAGTACATTAGTTTGACTAATATAACATCTAAAATACTAGCCTCAATAACTACAGGACGCCCAACAAAGACTCGTGAACTGCAAACACGTGAAAATCAGGCTGGCTTCAGACCTGGTCGTGGCCGCATCGACCACAGATTCAACATTCGTCAGATTTTAGAACACAGGCATGCCTATCAGTATCCCATATGATAGCTTTCCTTGACTTAAAAGCAGCATTTGACTCTAGACCGAGATGTTCTGTGCCAGTGTCTGTCATTGAAAGGCGTACCTCAGAAGTACGTAAATCTTGTGAAGTCTCTTTACTCGAACACTACCGGTCGAGTTAGAGCTTATGGCGAACTGTCGTCCGATTTCACAACTTCAAGTGGTGTCCGACAAGGCTGTTCACTATCTCCATTTTTGTTTAATTTCATCATAGACCTACTGCTGGAAATAACATCCCCGTCGACTGAGTTTTCAGGAATTGATCTCCTACCAGGAGATACACTTACTTAGAATACACAGATGACATAGTCCCGTCTGGTGAAGACGCTAATAAAATGCAGTTTTTTGGTAGCACTCAGCAACAATGCCAGAATGTTTGGAATGCGTTTCTCCACCTCTAAATGCAAATTATTGCTTCAGGACTGACCTGTGTCAACACCTGAACTAAGGATAGGGAATGAAGTGGTCGAACACGTCGACAACTTCACTTATCTTGGAAGTCTGTTCGGCACTAATTGATTGGTGCCTGACAAAATCTGCACGGATTCAGAAAGCTCGTTTGGCTTTTGCCAACTTACTTCACCTATGGTGAAGGCAAGATATCCGTCGACTGAGATGGTTGGGCCAAGTATTTTACATGCCAAACCATCGACTACCACGACGCACAATGACCAGTGTTGGAGACGGATGGAAGTTAGGGGCGACCAAACCAAAACGTGGCATCAGTCCATAAGGTCACTAAGTCCTGGTCTGAGCCATGTCAGTAGATCCAGACTACTTAGTTGGGGTCTGCGCGACTATCATAACCAGTGACTGGAAACTCTATGTGACGACTCAGAATCGATCACAATGGCGTAGGTGTATACGCTCTTTGTCTTCCCATAAACCGTGAGATGAAAATTACTTTATACCTTTCTTTCTACGAACCAATTCTTTCTCTTTGTATTGTATCCTTATATGAAATCTTTCTTTTATATATTACCATCATTGAGATAACTACTTCTGTGGATTTAGTGATCATCTTGTTGTGCTAATGAAGTGTGGCAACTTCTACCGATGCGTATACGTGCCTGGTCCTACGTTTCAGCTGACTAACTGACTTTCCTTCTCCTAAGGTATTGACTGTCTGATTTGTTATTTAAATTTAACAGGCCTGTTTCGGTTGCGTTTCACGATATAGCATAGCGTAGGTTTTATAAGTCCCTACCCATTTGGTCACAGTATTTTCTGGGAATTCTTTTCAACAATAAATTAACTGAATACTTTTAAAAAATATTTGTTACTAAACTATAAATGATCTAATCGTATATTAATGGTTATAATTTATATTATACTAATTATGCATCAAGGGGCATTCCAAAGAAGTATCGTCAATATGTTGGTGGAGTATGGGTGCCTCTTCTGCAAACGTCAAGGACAGTAAGTACAAAGGACTACTTATATCCGGTGGTCTCGATGGTTATCTGATTTTCTGGTTTATGGACCCTTCACGCATAGAAAGTCCTAACTGGTCAGAATCAGATATCTGTCATATCTGTAGCGGGCCATTTTTCTGGAATGTCCGTAAAATGTGGAACAACATGTCGGTTGGTGTGCGCCAGGTATTCATTTTTGTACAGTTTCGTTAAACGTATGCTCATTAATGCAATGCAGCTCTTTCAATTCAGTGAATGTTAAACAAATTATCAGCATCACATTATTCATTCTAAAATGATTGTCATAGCTTTTGAGAAAAGCTGAAGGTTACAAAGACAGCAGCTTGTAACCGTCCTATTTGTTTTTAACTCTCCAGCTAACATCTGTTAGGACAGTGATCGCCACTTAAGAGAATCGTATTCTAAATAATCGGAGACGACTTAAGATGAAAGAATAAGGAGTTCACTGTTTTATCGAATTCCAGTAAATTTGTACTGACTGAGAATATAACTTATATGTAAGATCACGTGGTCTCTAGTGTAAGTCAGTATGTGTTGTGGTAAATCTCCCCCTTATAGTTTTCGTGTCATGTTGGTAATCATTTATTAACTTACGGCACACCTTATAGTCAATGTATGCGCTTCAAATCTCCACGTTCAGTTAATTCTGTTGGTTATATTTCAAATCAATTTTACTAGTGATCGTGTTATATTTCTCTCTTACGGTTATAACCCAGCTATTCCTATTGCTTAGTATTTTTGGACACCAAATCACTCGACAAGTCCCCAAATCAGAATACGGTTGAACAGGAAAGAGATTATATTCCAAATAACAAGGTTAGATAGAAGCAAGAAGCACAATAGGGAAAACGTTAGTATATTTATAGTTTTTACATGAGAAGATTCTAGAGTATTCTCCAAGTATCGACTAGTGCTAATTGGATAAGAATAAGCTAATCAGCGTCCAGCAAAGCAGTCGTGCATTGAGCATGCTTTAATCCAGTCTATGTCCTGCTAACAGATCGATTATGGTGGTCAACATGGTTTTGTTGAACAGACTTTACTCAAAAGCTTCTCAATTGTCTATATTTGTTGTGGTTAAGTTTTCTATTTGTGAATTCGTGTTAAGTGACACTTCTGTACCAAAGCATCTCGTTGTAAGTGGGGATTTAATATGTGAGGAAAGATTAAAAACTGAAACCTTACAGTTAGTCGTGCATTATTAAGTACAACTATCCTATTGACTGGTCTTTTGAACAAAACGTTGGAAGACAGGTTCGTTCTCAACTATAGTTTTTCCTGAATGTTTGCAGTTGTCTGTGGGATTTGCGCCATTAAGTATCAAGTTCTACCTTATTACTACCATGACCGGAACGCTCCCCATGTTTTTCACCCATATTTGCTAGCGTAATATGTCCGGGCGTTGAAATCATTGCATTTCTTCGTAGTAATGCTTTGTGAATTTATATTCATTATCTCGAAGTCGGAGTTGTCTACGATATGCAATTAGTACTTTTCCAATAATTTATATTGTTAAAAGTATTTCGTCAACAAAATTTTACTTCCTAAGAAGTTAGAATCAGAGAGTTATTTTCTAATATGTGATGAAATCAAGATACGATAGGAGGCCAGGAAGCCTCTAGGATCTGTTTTTATTTTTGTAGAGGATTTGAAATTAAAATGAGATAACCCAGGGGTGTGGAGATGTTCATTCTTTTCTTTGCGATAGCCGATAGACACGATTATTTTTCCTCCGAACTCTATATTACATCATACTTTATGTTGTTTAAGTTGGTGTTCAATTTCGACCCATATTTTTCCTTCACTACTTTTAGCATCACTGTCGTAGATGTGGTCATGCTGTTTGTGACAAATGTTCTCCTTATCGGTCTAATCTACCGTGTATGGGTTTTGAAAAAGATGTTCGTATATGCAATCAATGCTTTCCTTTAATAACTGATTCAGAGTATGTGATTTTAAAGTTGGTCTATTTTTTATCCAAATAAAATTATGTATTTGTAAATAGCGGTAACTGTGGCTCTAATATTAGTAATTAGGGTCCACTGCATTCAGTCAAATTCAAATTTCTGTCCTTTCTACTTTGTTCCGAGCTATCAAGTAGTATATATAGCGTTGACAAATATCGATCGTCTGTATTTTGGTTATCGAGTCGTTTAATTCACTGCGAGAGTCATTTCATTCTGTGGATAATTAGTATTCAAGATCAATGTTTGTCCGTTTTATCAATTTTCTAACGAAAGTGCACTTGAGTTATGAAGTATGGCGAGCGTTTCGAAATTCCCTCGTACAAAGTTTGTACCATCAGCACGCGGACTATTTGTCAGGTGCACTTTTATGCTTGACGAATTCATTAGTAATAAACCTTAAAGTTGAACGTTTGATATTGTTGATTTGGTAATATTCCATCTAATATATGAGAATTGTAAAGTCTATTCCTAAAGTTCTTGTTTTATATTGGTGTCCAGTTATTTCCCTTGTTATGGTACATTTTCATCCCCCTCTAGGTAGAGAGAGTCCGCCCTCGCTCTTCACATGGCCTAGCGTATACAGCTACTGCTAGGAAAGTCGTACCCACTGCCTCTTCATATTGAGAGTGTTGTTTACAAAATTGAAAGGACGAAAATTGGAACGCCCATCGCTTCAACCGGTTTAGCGGATACGGAGGATCCACCTAGGGAATTTGGAAAATCATGACTCCAAACCAGTTGTGCACATAGGTTCCAGGATCCTGGAAGAACAAATGGCATATTAACCTATTCTTGGCCGCTGGCTACCATGGGACTGCATCTCCTAACGTAGCTCCACTCCCTTGTGGATTAAACCTCGGGGTCAGAAACTCGGGGAGTGGCCGTCTAAGAAAACCACTCGCTTCAGTTTTAGCAAACGAGTATTATCCCAGCCCACACAAATTCAATGATTTGTGTGACGCATATATATTTTGGAGTCTCTTTGAGCCAATGTTTTTGTGTTTAAATAAATGAATATGGTAAATTTTTGTCAGGCAAAACAACATAGCTTAATAATTATTAACTGACTTTGTCTCGTTATCTTTTAGCCGCAGGAGTTTGGCTATTTCGTTTGACGCTCGCCATCCTGTTACATGTATTCGTGTAGAGGAATCCTTGAACTTACTTCTAACGGTTGGGAAAGATCGGGTTATCAAGGTAACTACAACAAATATGTAGTTTTTTGAAATTTAAAGTAGTAATAACTAGAATCATGACTCTAGCAAACAAACTTCTTCACTAATAAGTATGTCTTCTGTCTACAACTTTCATTATCAGACGTTCTATCATGGTATAAACAAGCATATTACTGAAGTGATATTTCGATCGTTGGGTTTTTGGTAATTCATGTACTCAAGTTCACATTAAGTCAATAATAATGACCATAGCATAAGTTATGTATAATAACAGCTGGGAAACCGTTTCGTTAGCACTGATTTGTGAAAATATAACTTCAATGTTATATTTCTAAGACATGTTTTGGACTGGACTAAAAAAAAAGAGAATTCAGTGTGGTGATACCATTCTGTGGATAGCAGTGAACTGACAAGCTAAAATTAGGTTAGACTTTTTTGAACAAACAGAACTTTTTTCCAATATTCATAATTTTAGCCATTGGAGCATTCCACCAATTACATTCTGTGTTTAAGCGTAATTAAATAACCGTACAAAACTCTTGGAAACCTTAGTTTAATGTTACGTCGAATTTTATAAAGAGCATTTCATTGATAAGGTAAAATAATATGGTATTGTTCACCTTGATTATCTCCCTGTACAGGTGTTGTTTAGATTTCTTTCTGTTACGAACAAACATGATGAATTCCTTTAGAGAGTTGTTGAATACATTTCACACATGAAATATTTAGCGTGAAATTTATTCTAACAGTTCAAATAAACATGGTTAGCATGCTGTTTGCTTCACACTAGGTTCGACCGAGTCTCTACGTTTATTTTACTTGAATGTGGCAAAACAAGCTTACTGGACGTTGATTATATTGGCCTCTATATTGTTAATGTGTATAGATCCTATATGAAAATCTAAATGAGGTATATAAGTTACACAATAGCTAGTCAGTAGTGTATAATAATTAAGCGCTATGATAGTCAAGAAGAATCACTAGTACGATTTTGGTGGAGTTTTGTTCTCTGAGCTGGATGGTTTGGTCGTGGAGCTTTCATCCACCTGAGCTACAAATCTTCACCATCACTAGTACGAGTTTATTTGCTAACTGTGCCGTCGCTTTCACTATGGCAGTAATTGCTGTAATTGTACTATCGTTAAACCTGTTAAGAATGATTAGGTTCAAGTGTATAACTATCAGTCAGCGTTGTTTTGGTTGAATATAGGCATTTCATAGCACAAAACATTGTATTTTGATACCTAGCTGCTTAAATTCCCGAATGTCATCAACTCTCAATTGGAAAAATAACGTGTTATTGAAATTGTGTATATGTATGGTGCATGTTTTTCTGTAGCTTTAATTACTGACTAGTTTACGGTTTTTTTTGTTTTTAGGTGTGGGATATCAAGGCTTTTTCATCAAATCCACATTCATAAACTGTATACACTACAAATGCTATTTTATGTGATTTATTTATAAGGATTATTTCCCGCCTTTCATGGTGCATACACCAGTGATTTTGAGACACTTTATTCATCTTTATGTTCTACGAAATTGAAATTGTCTAAAAATGATCTCTGATAACTTTGAATAAGATATATAGGCATACATTCTATAATATATTTACGTTTCCTCATAAATTTACTGTACATATCAAAAGTATTTTAGCGTCTTTCTAATGTAGTTTAAAATGATTCTGTATGTAAAATCCTTGCTTAATAATATTAAAGCTAACCTGCCACATATTATTCAGAAGTTAGTCTTACTTAGTTTCGCTAGTTCGATATTGATAAACAGGAAAGGCTGAAACTCCGCACACCAATGCAATAGTTGAGTTTCCCGTAATTGAAAACGACAGCCTCATGATTCCTATATTTCCTCATTGTTTCGGGGTCAAACTATTTCATGTTATTCACCTAACTACAATATGATGCCTGCGCTCTATAAGCTTTAGAATGCGTTTGGGCTAGAGAATAGTTCATAAGAAATCTAAGTTACAAACACGTCCCTTGTCTACTGAAAGCCACGGTAGTGCACAGTCGATAGGATAAAGTACAGGTCAGTTAGCCAGCTGAAACGTAGGACCAGGCACGTATACGCATCGGTAGAAGTTGCCACACTTCATTAGCACAACAAGATGATCACTAAATCCACAGAAGTAGTTATCTCAATGATGGTAATATATAAAAGAAAGATTTCATATAAGGATACAATACAAAGAGAAAGAATTGGTTCGTAGAAAGAAAGGTATAAAGTAATTTTCATCTCACGGTTTATGGGAAGACAAAGAGCGTATACACCTACGCCATTGTGATCGATTCTGAGTCGTCACATAGAGTTTCCAGTCACTGGTTATGATAGTCGCGCAGACCCCAACTAAGTAGTCTGGATCTACTGACATGGCTCAGACCAGGACTTAGTGACCTTATGGACTGATGCCACGTTTTGGTTTGGTCGCCCCTAACTTCCATCCGTCCCCAACACTGGTCATTGTGCGTCGTGGTAGTCGATGGTTTGGCATGTAAAATACTTGGCCCAACCATCTCAGTCGACGGATATCTTGCCTTCACCATAGGTGAAGTAAGTTGGCAAAAGCCAAACGAGCTTTCTGAATCCGTGCAGATTTTGTCAGGCACCAAGTACAAGTACTATGTCTGAGTGTTTAGCTTTTTGAAGCTTCCTGTAAAATTCATCTCACTTCGTCCGGGCTGCAGTCAGTGGGAGTGTAGGTAGAAACGACATGTGTCCCTATCCTTCCGAGTTCTTACGGAGCTGTTTATCCGAATAGCACATAAGCGACTGTTAACAGGGATGCATCTCAATAGTGCTTGTTCTGCCCTCATATTTAATGCTATGCCCAAACCCGCTAGTTCACGAGATCTAGCATTCAGGCCGCCAGATAAAGGGAGGGTGTATCTCGTTGGCTCCCCGTTTCAGCTAGGTTAGGTCAAGTTTTTTAGCATAAACTGTGAGTAATCTTCCAGAGGTGACGATGGTCAAATATCGAGATGTTCAGAAGTTCCTTTTTTAAGAATCTAACGGATGGTTTTTCGCTAAAAAGTTTGTAGACCTGACATTTTTGAGTGTATTGTAGTGTTACAATGACTTCACCTTGACATATTTTTAAAATTTGGTTACTTAAGCTCAAATATTTTTACAAAGGGGTACTAGAATATTTATACACTTCATAATGCCCTGGTATGGCCGAGAGCGGAGTGGGTTCGCCCTCCCTCTCGAAATACTCTCACACGGCCACGCGTATATAGCCTCTGCCAGGGAAGTCCTACTCACTGCCTTCTCGTGGCGGGAGTGTTGTTTACGAAAATGAGAGGACGAAAAGCGAATGTCTGGCGCTTTAACTGGATTCCAAGTCAATGGTGCACATGGGCTCCAGTATCCTGAAGGAACAAATGGCGTATGAACCAATTTTCGGTCACCCGGCTACCATGGGACTGCATCTCCTCACGATGCTCCACTGCCTTGTGGGTTAGACCGTTAGGTCAAAGGCTCGAGGTGTGGCCCCCTAAGGAAACCACCTGCTTCGGCTTGGGCACCCAGGCAGTATCACAGCCCACACACAATTAATGAACTGAACTGTCTATGATCATGGAAACTAATTCTCTTGCTTCGACGAACATTCAAATGAATCAAATATTATTATTATTATTGTTATCATTATTTACTACATCATTATTCACCCTCTTTTATTCCTACTCTGTCTACTTATTTTTTCAAATTATACAGCAGCCACTGTCCGGTTAAAAATTGTATGTTACCACCGAATACGAGGACTGAAGCAGTTTTTCTGAAACCACGTGCACCATTCAAACTGGCTGCCTTCAACGTTCGCACATTTATGCAGGTCGGACAACAGATAGAGCTGGCTATCTCTTTGGGAAGTCTTAATATCGATGTTTGCTGTCTATCCGAGACCCGTATTCAAGACTCTGGTGAAGTACTACAAATTCGATCTCCATCTGTCGCTTCGAAAAGCTTGTTTTACGTGCGCTTATCCAGGGACCCTGTGGCGTCTTCGTCTGGTCTTGCTGGCGTTGGTGTCGCACTAAGCGCTAGAGCTGAGGCAGCACTAGTCGATTGGATCCCCATTAACAGTCGGTTATGTGTTGTTAGATTAGAGAGTTCGATCAAAGTGAGAAGAAATCGGCGTAAGAAACGATGTCTTTTCGTCATCTCCGCCTATGCTTCGACAGATTGCAGCCCGGATGCAATCGAGGATGAGTTTTACCACCAGTTATCTGTTCTTCTCCAGAAAGTGCGTTCGACAGATATTGTAGTACTAGCCGGAGACTTGAATGCTCAGTTCGGGCGCCTAGGCACAGAAGAGAGTCGTTTAGGTGGCCGATGGGGACTTGTTGGTCGCAGGACAGATAACGGAGACCGTCTACTGCAACTGTGCACAGACCACAACCTGTTTCTGGCTAGCACTAACTTTCGGCACAGTCATTGCCGATGTGCCACCTGGCGTCCTCCCTCTGCATCTCAAGCCTGGACTCAGATTGGTTACATCGCGATCAGCTACCGCTGGCGTGGTTGTGTACAAGACTGCCGCTCCTTTTGGAGTACCTATCTGGACTCTAACCATGCCTTGGTCTGCGCCAATCTTGCCTTACTTTTCAGTGGACAACGAAGTGACCGCCACCAACGGATTGATGTTAGCAAGTTGGTTGCAACTTCTGTTGCAAGTAAGAATCAAACCGAGCTAGCCTCTAGGCTAGCTACCATTCCACCGAAAAGTATAGATGAGAATTGGTTGTAATTGCATGACGCCATGAAAATGGCGGGTACAGTAAGTTGTGGGTTTGCGAAACGTCCCGCTTATAAGCACTGGGTTTCTTCAGGCTCCTTACAACTCATTGAAGCCCGTCGGTCTACTCCGGGTGACGGTGAGTTTGACCATAAACGAAGGATGTTACGTAAGGAAATTGGGCAAAGCTTGCGTAAGGACCGAGAAGCCTGGTGGTCGGAGCGTGCTAATGAGATGGAAGCAGCAGCTGCATCTGGTAATTACCGGAAGCTCTTCCAACTCATCCGAGCCACTGGCAGCAAGAAGTCTGGTGTGAGCGAAACAATCTGTGAGGATGACGGGATGCCAATCACTAACATCCATCGACGTCTTGGACGATGGGCAGAATTTTTTGAAGGGCAGTTCAACTGGCCCGCTGCTCCGGCAGCATCGGTCAGACTGTTCTGACCCCCCCCCATGGATTGTGACGACTGATCCACCAAATGAGGCGGAAGTCCACAAGGAACTCCAACTCTTGAAGCGCTACAAATCACCTGACCCAGATGACTTACCTCCGGTTCTTTTTAAAGATGGTGGTGACTTTCTGACTAAGGAACTGATAACGTTGTTTACAAAGGTCTGGGAGCTAGAGAGTGTACCAACGTCATGGAATGAGTCGATAGTTGTCCTTATCCTTAAAAAGGGTTCACGTCGTTCCTGTAACAGCTATCGGAGGATAAGTCTACTTCCGATTGCGTCCAAGCTATTGGCTTCCGTCATACTTCGTAGGTTGTTAAAAACCCGAAAAAGATTGACTCGCAAGGAGCAGGCTGGGTTTCGTTCTGGTCGAGGGTGTATTGATCATATCTTTACCATCCGCCAAATGTTAGAACACCTCCATACTTATCAAAGGCCAACAATCGTAGTGTTTCTTGACATCAGGGATGCCTTCGATTCGTTGGATAGGACTGTTCTCTGGGATTGTCTATTGAGGAAGGGTGTGCATGAGAAGTTTATTAACATCTTAAAGGCCCTATATACAAACACCTTAGGCAGAATGAGGGCATACAACCACCTCTCTCCATTGTTCCATTCGAGCAGTGGGGTTAGACAGGGTTGCCCAATCTCACCATTCCTCAACTTTGCCATCGACGACATTCTGGAAACAGCTCTGATGGATGTAAGTAATGGTGGTGTGGATCTGTTGCCTGGAGAAAGACTTCTCGACCTTGAGTATGCGGATGATATTGTTTTACTGTGCTATAATGCCAAAGCCATGCAATCCGCACTTAATCAGTGTCCGTAGGTACGGTATGTGCTTTGCACTTTCGAAGTGCAAAGTACTTCTACAAGACTGGCAGGATTCCGATCCTGTACTCACCCTGGATGGTGAGCGGATAGAAGTGGTCGAGAAGTCCGTGTATCTGGGTTGCTGCATAAGTGCTGGTGGGGGTGTGAGTGATGAGATCAATGCACGTATAGTGAAAGCCAGAGCGGCTTATGCCAATCTGGGCCATCTTTGGCGCCTTCATGATGTTAGTCTGGCTGTAAAAGTTCGGATTTACAACGCGTCGGTGAGAGCAGTTTCGCTCTATGCTTGTGAAACCTGGCCTCTCCGAGTTGAGGACGTTAGACGACTTTCTGTGTTCGATCATCGTTGTCTCCGAAGGATTGCTGACATCCAGTGGCAAC